TTTTATTTTGGTGTTTGTTTTTTGTTTTGTTTTTTTTTTTTTTTTTTTTTTTTTTACTTGACTCACGGTTTCTTATAATTTGAAAATGCATTTGCCTCTTTATTTGCTTACTTCCACAATTGCAGAGAGTTGAAAGATAACCTTGGCAGTGATGATCCAGAGGGAGATATACCAGTCTTGCTGCAGGCTATCCTGGCAAGGAATCCTAATGTTTTCAGGGAGAAAAGCATGCAAAACAGATACGGGGTACAAAGCGGTAAGGATTTTTTATTATTTATTGATTGCATTTTATGTTGTTCTGTAAGTTTAGGGAACTGATACTAACTGCAAATATGTATGGAGCACAACTGTGATATTTATGCCTTGTCTTGTATTTGATAGTGATATAAAGCTGTGTACCATGACATCTTCTAAGAGCAGTTGTGTTGGAATAAACCTACCAGGTACTTCTGTAAAAAATGCTTAATTTCATTGCAAAATTTAATCTCTGGGAAGAGTAGTTGGATTTTATTTTAAAATAATTTTATTTTAATTTCTTTAGGTTCATATATTTGTCTTAGAAAATAATTGAAGTTTTTTTAAAAGGCCTTTATCTTACTGAAAATCTGTATTGTTATACTGTATCATTACAGTATAATTTTTATACTTAATAGTTCTGGGGTAAGGAATAAGATAGAAAGAACCATGCTTAACAGCTACTTCCTTCCATTCCTCATCTCAGCAGTTTGCAATGCTCTACAGATTTTACTGTTTTGACAGCTGATTCTCCTCTGAGGTATACTGCTGAAAAGCAAAGATGAAGAAAGAGGGAGGCTAAAGAAAGGATTAATTGGGCAGATTCCACTTGTAGATCTGGAGACTTGCACCTGCAGAATGTTCTTTAAACACCAAACTATTGAATGAGTAGAGAATTTCCAGAGTTTCCACAGTGTGAGGATAAACCTTTGCTAGCACTGCAAAGATACAGGCAAAAGTGTTGCTGGAGTCCACAGAGGATGAAAATGTAGGGTGTTTTGGAGAGGTAAAAACAATAAAATGAGATAATTAAGTTCATTCACCTAGGTTAGTGAGTAAAAAGCCATACGGTATTGAAAAGAACTCACTACGGTCAGAACACGTAATGTTTCTTGAAAGAATACAGAAATTTCCTGGCATGTAGATATGAAGGGTGGTGATAAGTGTTTTTAAGTTCATTGGATATATATTTTTATATATATCCTGAAATTTAATCTCTGAAAGTCTCCAGAATCTGTGTTTAGTGGTAGTTGTGGTAGAGTATTTTTCAAAGTGTGGGAAGAGTTCTAACTGTTCTGTCAGCTTGCAGAGTGGTCCCACAGAGAGCATACACTTGAATTAGAGTTTTCCAACAGTTTTTTAGAATAAAATAAATTTTTCACCAGTGCAAAAAGAAAAAAAAAAAGCAGAGACATAATTTTTAATTTTTCTGTTCCAGCAGGTGCTTTTGGAAGAAGGAAGACAAAGCTATTTTACTTCTTTCTAGTTTTTGCTAATACTGTGGTTCTCAGGAAGAAACACTTAAGAAGCTTGATTCAGTAGATTAAAAATAATCCTTAATGAAAGAAAAGCATTACTGTATTTTAAAAATATGCTTTGGCCTATGCCTGAAGGAAGATATTAGTACAGAAAAAAATAATAATAATCCAGCATTAAGCTCAAAAAAATACTTGATGTTATTTTAATAAGTAACACCATGGTTTCAGAGGACCAGAAGAGATTTGACTTTATTTAATTTTATTTTATATAATTCTGAATACATGTTCAAGTGCAGGCATTGCAGTGTAGTTGTGAAATCTGAAAACTGGGAAGAAAAAGTGAAGAGGGGAAAAGCATAGCTGTGTATGTTGGGAGAAAGAGGGCCCTGAAATGAATGTTTGGGAAAGCTAGGTGAAGTGTGACTTTATTTTTAGTAGAAAAAGGTCACACTTCTTAACTGGAAATAACTGGATCTTCAAGGTAGATCATGGTAAACTTTGATAGCCTAATTATTTTCTACTGTGTCCCATTCAGTTCCATTCCCCTATCTTGATGTATTGGGGCATAAAAATTTGGGTTTACTTTGGCTTTCTCAACAGATTTTGCAATCTCTTTAGAGCTGATTTGTAGAACAATTAGGGGTTTGGTAGAGATACTATGTAGTGTGTTTTGCAGGCTAGAATAATGAAGTTTAGGATCTTGTATAGTATTTAAAATTATTTTTTTCTGCTTTCCTTATTGTCTTCCTTCTGAGTATTGTCCTTCCATCTTCTGTTGAATCCAACATGCAATGCAGTCAGCACTGGGTATTGTGACCCAGTATTTGTAATGCCCACAACTGAGAGGGAATGAAGGCAGCAGGACCCTCTGTCTATTTACTCAGCCTGAAGTGCGCCTCTGCACCATGATCACCTTGAGTGTCAGCTCCAGCATTTCTGTGGAAAAAGTGAATTAAAATTATTTCTCCTTGCCTTCATTTCTGATGCAAGAACAGGAAGATATCCTGGCTAAAGAATTACATTAAACACGGAATAAAATTCTTGGTTCAGTACAATTTGTCAGGTGATAAAGGCATCTTCAGAAAATGAACTAATGTTTTGAGTTCTAGTGAATTCACGAACAGAGAATTCTGTGCTGGTATTTTTTTCACAAGTTCCTATTGATCTGTAGTTCAGCACTAAGTCTAGAGAAGTTACTGGTTTTAGTTAGGAAGAACAAACAGTGCAAGAATGATGTGTTTTGTGGACACTTACTGGTGTACTTAGTTTCAGGTAATGTAGCAGCAACATTCCAACTCTTATTCCCTGTCTTTTGAGAACAGTCCCATTGTCAAAACCAGCTTTATAGAGCTTAGATTTTTAGATTACATTTTTAGTTAGTTTTTAAAGAATGTTTTCTGTTACCAGGTTGTCTGAACAGACTGAGTTATATCAGCATGCAATGTCAGGCCAAATGTTAATATATTTTTTAGCACTTTTTCATCAAATTCCATAGAAAATTCTGGGTGCCATCTTGCAACTATATCTGTCCTCCATCTTGTAGTGTGTGAGCAAAGTGGATTTCTTTATGATTTTTAATTTAAAATGAAATTTTTACTTAATTTCAGGTATAATAATATTTTTTTTCTATTTTCCCTATGAATACTCTGGCTTCATTTTTCAAGATAGGTGTTGGAAGATTAGCTAAAATAGTTTATTGCAAGAAGTTAGTATTCATAGCATCCCTTAGGGTTTAGGAAGGACTTAATATCGCTTTAAGGCATTTATTAGAACTTGTGGATTTAGGGGGATTAAAATCTTATGCATCTTTTTATGTAGTGCATCCTTTGGCATTTAGTAGGAATGCTAAAATAGATTTCTGTGTGCCACTTTCTACTAAGCAAAAAAATTACAGTCAAGACTTGAGAGCATGTGTTAAGGAAACTCATTCTAGTAATTACTAGTAGTTACTAGTGCAGTGATGATTTCTCAAACCTTAACATTAGCAACATTCAAAATTAAGCTTGTGTTTAAAAGAAATTCTGAAGTATTGAAGGTATGGAAATGTACAGTGGAGCCATAAATCCGCTGCTTAATGATAAGACTATGATGTAAAAATGTACCAACAAAATATTTTGGTGCTAATGGCCAAAGACTTAATTTCAGCTTCTGCTTAGGCTAAATGGGGCTTATTTTCCCTACTTTCTCATTACATCATTACCAGGCATACATGTTATCTGTCTGAAAACTTTGGAGACTCTAGAGTTTTGGTTGGTTTTTGTTGTTTGGGTTTTTTATATTTTCTTTACCTTACTTAGAATGTACCTCCCCATGTCCCATCCTTCCAGCAACAGAGAGAGGTGGGAGCAGTCTGTCACAGAATAGTTACACGGTTTTTTAATGGCATTTAAAATGGATTCATTTATGTATTTTCTCCCATTATTTTAAACCAAAAACTGTCACATCTGTAGTTCAAAACACATTTTAAATTCAGGGAGTAGGAGCTACATAGATTATTTAAAAAATGTTTCAAAAGTGCTGTCTGTGCTGTAAGCATAAAATAAAACTTTATCTGGGTAGTTCATGCTTATGTGGGCTCATTCTGTCAGCTTTCCCTCTGTTAACATTAAGGGCTATTAGTTTGTCTAAAATACTGTACTTAGCTGCGTTAAGAGTGATGGTGGGAGGTCAGTGAGTACTCCAAGCACTGCCTCCAGCACAAAATCCCGAGTTTCCTCCTCACTTAATTGTGCAATGCAAACAGTGGCCTTCTAAGCAAACTTTGCAGGAGCTGTGAAGCCTCTTCGGTTACTCGGGACAATGAAATGTCCTCTCTAGTGGAGTATGAAGGTCTCTTGATCATTTTTTTTCAGCATACCAAGGACTTTTACTCCTGCTCTGGGCTAGTTTTCCTGTGTTAATATACATGGAATGCAACACTTCACACCTACCAGGAGGTAGTAACGCTGCATTCCTGGGGGATTATCACAACTCTGCTGGAGAGGGGAAAAGAGGGTAACAGGGAGGATTTCTGAAAATAATTTTGCTTGTGTGAATATTGCAGTAACGGAAATTTGTGATAGCACTTCAAGGATCAACAGCTCCCAAGCATTCTGAAACGGGGACTTCTGTCAACCTTCTATCCAACCTTTGGGTTAAAGTATTTGTGCTACTCGTGTTTTTACCAAAGGCTGTGGATCACTTGCTGCAGCTTCCCAAGCTGCAGTGTGCATGTGAATTCTAACACTTTTAGCTTCAAGGCATTCAATTCTGTCCTTAAAATACCTTAAAATTAATTTTAATGTTTGAATTTCTGCACCAGTTCAACTTCCAGTGTCATGCTGTTTGTAGGGAATACTTTATACCTGTATCAAAGGCACGTTTGTGGCTTGCCAGCTAGTACAACTGCAGAATTTCTGAAGCATGACTGGGTGGGGCGGAAGGTGGGGCTTACAGCGGATGGAAGCCTAGAGTTGGGATATTGGTTCTTCTTTGTAGTTGAAATATTTCAGCACGTTCTTTGATAATATTCCTTATAAGCAGAGTGGATTTAGAGTAGAAAACTTTTGTCCCTGGGTAGAAAGGAACTATTAAGGCTTTATGGGAGCTGAAAGAATAGTTTGCATCACTCAGCTGGAGATGATTGTTTGCTGTACTTCCTGTAAAACATGGGCAGTTTTCTGTGTGAGTTGTGGAGTTTCAAAGTCTTTTACTTATTGGCACAATGAGTACCGTGCACACCTGATTAGGGTGTGAAATACAGGGTCTATTGTAAAATGTTCCAGTTTACTAGTAGGTTTTGGCTAGGGATGCTCTAAGGAACCGTGTAAGAAACTACTGTTAGTATTTTTAACTGAATTAACACTGCTCCAGGGAATGCTTTTTAATGTCATTATGTAAAATTGACATCTTCTATGGCTTCAGTAATTTCTAATGTTTTTAACAGTTGTGGGGCAAGAATGTCTGTAAAGTTTATAATGTCTTCTTTTTATGTAATAATTTCTGAAATAGGAGACCTCATTGATTGAAAAGGAAATGCATGTAAAGTAATGCTACTATCTTTTTTTTTAATAGGGATGATGATGCCACAATTTAATATTTCTCAGAATTCCATGCGTGGTAGTCCTGCATCTTCCAATTACCAACAAACCACTATCTCACATAGCCCTTCCAGGTAATGCTTTCTTCTAAACGGAGTGGGAGGGGCAGCAAACTGCAAATTCTTTCTGCATTTACAGGCCATTCTTGTTGCAAGTGCTTGAATGGAAGGGCATGAGTGTCAAGACAAATTTTGCAGTTGTCTGACAGCAAGCTGAGTTTCTCCAGCTGATGAAGAAACATCTTTCTGTCAATGAATTAATCCTTGTATTGTAAGGATTTGTCATGATTCTCTGCTCTCTCTCCCTCCCATAATTTTGGCAAAGTTTCTTTCCTATACCAAGGAGTCCCTCTGCCTCCTGTCACCCCTCCAGCTGTTTCTGGCTTGTGTCAGAGGCTGAGACTGGTGTCAGGAGGATTAGAGAGAAGGGGCTGATGTGTTCCAGCATGTGTAACTGTACCAGTGTGACAGTAGACAGGGAACGAAGGCTTGTAAAAGCACTGAGTGCTGCTGTAACAGTTAATACAAAAGACCACTTAGGGGAAGTTTGGCCAGTCTTTTAGCAGCATCCTTGTCAACTTTCTGGTTCTTGTTTAGCTTTCAGGTGTTGTCAAGTAACATGTACCTACAACCCAGGCCTTTAGTAATATTAATAAAGTACTCTGGACTCGAGGAAAGGATTCTTTATGTAGTGTCAGCACCGTTACTGAGCTTTAGCAGATTTTATGTTAAATTATTATATGTTGTTTTTGAAATAAACTTATTTCATGTTTCACTTCAAAGTACTGTATTTGTTTTGGTAAATGAAATACTCTGTATCTGCACAGAAATTGGCACACTTTTTTACTTTTATGTCTAAAGCTGATATTGAAGAAATATGCTTGAATTTTTAATATTATAGTGAGTATTATAAAGTCTTCTTGAAATCCTTGCAAAATGCTTGGATTAAATACTTCGCTTTTTCTTCCAATGGAAAAAAAACAAAACAAAACTGGCTGGATGGCTGGGCCCAAAGTGTGGTAGGCCAGTGGCATCCTGGCTTGTATCAGGAATAATGTGGCCAGCAGAAGCAGGGATGTCATTCTCCCCCTGTACTCAGCACTGGTAAGGCCTCACCTTGAGTACTGTGTCCAGTTCTGGGCCCCTCACTTCAAGAAGGACATTGAGGTGCTGGAGCAGGTCCAGAGGAGAGCAATGAGGCTCGTGAAGAGACTGGAGGGAAAGTCTTCAGAGGAGGGACTGAGGGAGCTGGGCTTGTTTAACCTGGAGGAGAGGAGACTCAAGGGGGACCTTCTCACTCTCTTCAACTACCTGAAGGGAGGTTGTAGTCAGGTGGGGTCTGGGCTCTTTTTCCAGGCAACTAGCAGTAAGACAAGAGGGCATAGCCTCAAGCTGCACCAGGGGAGGTTTAGATTGGATATTAGGAAGTAATTCCTCATGGAGACGCTGATGAGACATTGGAATGGACTCCCAGGGAAGTGGTGGAGGCACCGTCCCTGGATGTGTTCAGGTAAAAGCTGGGTGTGGCATTTAGTGCCATGGTCTAGCCGATGTGGTGGTGTTGGTCATAGGCTGGACTTGATGATCTTAAAGATCTTTTCCAGCCTTGGTGAGTCGGTGATTCTGTAATTAACAAAGCTAAATCTGACTGTTTTCCCCAGGGTTTAGTACTGGGGCCTTTTTGCTTTAATATGTTTCTTAATGATCTGGATGAAGGAATTGAGGAATTGAGTGCACCCTCAGTAAGTTTGCAGACAACACCAAGTACTACAATGGGACCTAGACAGGTTAGATTGGTGGGCCAAGGTTAATTGTATGGGGTTCAACAAGGCCAAGTGCTGGGTCCTGCACTTGGGTCATAACAACTCCATGGGAAGCTACAGAACTGGTGTGTGGTTGGAATGCTGCAGTTTGGAAAAGGACCTGGGGCTACTGATTGATAATTGACTAGATACGAGCCAACAGTGCGAACAGGTGGCTAAGAAGGCCAGTGGCATTGTGGCTTGTATGAGGAACACTGGCCAGCAGGAGTAGGCGGTGATCATCCTCCTGTATTCAGTGCTGGGCCCCTCACTATAAGAAGAACATAGAAGTGCTGGAGCATGTCTAAAAAAAGGCCACAAGACTTGTGAAGGGCCTAGAGCACAAGTCCTATGACTAGTGGCTGAGGGGCTGGGGTTGTTTAGTCTGGAGAAGAGGAGGCTGAGGGGAGACCTCATGGCTCTTCACAACTAACTGAAGGGAGGTTGGAGTGATGAGGGGGACAGCCTGTTCTCCCTGGTAACATGTGATAGGACCAGAGGGAACAGTTGCAAGCTGCTCCAGGGGAGGTTTGGGTTAGATACTAGGAAGCATTTATTCACTGAAAGGGTTATCAAGTTTGGAATAGTTTGCTCAGGGCAGTGGTGGAGTCACCATCTCTGGAGTTACTTAAAAGGCATGTGGACCTGGTACTTAGGGACAGGGTTTAGTGGTGAGCTTGCGGTGTTAGGTCTAAGGTTGGACTAGATTTTCTTGAACATCTCTTCTGATGGAAGACATTCTGTGATTCTGTAAAAAGAATATTTAGAGTAGATGGCTCCTTGCTAATCTTAGTGACCTAGCTGTTAATTAAAATTTAGCTGTCATTTTCAATCAAACTTCCAAACTTGGGAAATCGCAGATCTTATTTTTTGAACATGTATTTGTGGCATTGTTCCCCTTCCTGAGGTGAAGGCTTTAGGAATGCTTTTTATTTCATTCTTTACTTTTACTAATGCAGTACCTGAGCTGTCACTCCGAAGTCGTCACTGAAGTCAGGAAGCTTAAAATACTACTTTTGAAGGAAATTCTTGATTGTTTTGGAATTTTGTATGTTAAATAATTTTTAATGTTCTTAAAATATCTTCCAAAAGAAATAATAAGTTTGTCTAAATTTGCTTTTCCAGCTTTAAAAAAGTTTATTTTATTTTATTTTAGCCGGTTTGTGCCACCACAGACAAGCTCTGCTAACAGATTTTTGGCACAACAGAACAGTCCAGTGCCTAGTCCCTATGCTCCTCAAAGCCCTGCAGGATACATGCCATATTCACATCCTCCAAGTTATACACCACATCCTCAGATGCAGCAAGGTAAGTTTGTGATGTTTGTTTTGTTCTCCTGTCTCATGTCAGATTTACCTTCATGTGCATGTTTCATAACTTTCTACTTTCTTTGAAGGAGTCACTCACTTAAGGCAAATCTTTGAGTTTGCAGGTATGTTTAAGCTTTGCTTTCTTGACTTGTAAAGAGTGGTAGTATATACTTTATTTTTTAAAAATGGAAGAAGAAAGAATAAAACATATCTTCAGCACATTGCTTCCCTGTGTACGTTCATTCTACATAGTTGTCATGTATACATGACAACAGAAAAACTATCAAAAGAAAAAACTTCTGTTAGCTATGACCTTCCTTTATCTGTACTTGCAAAAGCCTCTTTTTTTGCCACTGTAATATAAATTTTGCTGCCAGATTATTTAGCCTTACTAAACCTTTATAGTGTTGACTAGATTAATCCTAAATTGACTAGAATTATACTCAAGGTATGCAGTAACTGGCAAATATGACACATACATGAAAAATGAATTAATTCATTTGTTTTTCCCTTTTCTAATCTACATCAAACCTAAAACCAACATAAATACTGTTAAATTATGTAGGCAATTTTTTGTTAGTAAGTAGAATTCTTACTGGATTCTTTTAAATAGTTGTTTTTCAAGTCAAAATTGTGCTTGGAATATGTATGTATAGCTATTTTATATGTACTGTTTTATGTCTCATGAATACCTTGGAAGTTAATAAAGGTAATACTGACTGTAATTTGGATAGATGTGGAGAGAAACTTGGCTAATTTGTAGTGGAATTTAGGTATGAAATTCTCTTGAAAATTAAAATCTTAGATACCTAATTTTATTCAGAGTATTTGTGGCAAAAGGATTCAATCAAAAAGTTGAATTCTTGTTCACATTTCAGACCTCTTGCATCCAGCTCATTAATATTCACTGTTGCAGTGCTTCCTCTGAGTTTTGATGAGTTTGTGAATGTATGATTATAGTTACTTACCTGTTTTGTATTTTCAGCTTCAGTATCCAGTCCCATTGTTACAGCTGGGATGAGGAATCTCCATGAAAATAAAGTTTCAAGTCAGTTGTCTGGAAATTCAGCTAATCACCATGCTGATAATTCTAGACATGGCTCAAATGAAGACTACCTACAGATGGTGCACAGACTAAGTAGTGATGTATGTAATCTAAATCAGTTTATTCTCATAAAGCAAATATTTACTATGATAAAGCAAGTATGTGTTTAGTTGCTGTAGAAGTCTGTTATTTTACTATGTTGTTGTTGATGTATACAAACGCTGAAAGTATATTGCAATTTTGGATGTGTATACTCAAGCCTGCAACTTTAATGTGTGAGTTTTTATTTTTTTTTACATCTTTTCTTCAGAAGTGTTAGTAACACTCATTCTGATTAAATTAGGAAAAGTAAAAAAATCCTATCATAATCCAGTATGTGAGTGAGTTTATTTTAAAGGAGCAGTCTCCGCAATTACTTTATCAATATGTTGATGCAAACAATACATGATTCTAAATAGGTGTATAGTTAACTTGCCTCTCTGAATATCCTGGCAACTGTCAGGTAGATGATGTATTTGAATAGGCTACTGGGTAGCATTGTAGTGTTGTCAAAGCCAAGAATTCCTATAGACATTTATTCTTACTAGTCTATTATAAGCTTTTAAGGCCTGGTTTCTTTTAGAGAAGTTTTTCCTTAGTGACTTTATTTCATGTGGGACAAATTCCTTCTGAAATCTTGAATCTAAAGGAAAAATCCCCAGCTTTCTCCTGCATGTTCTTTTAACTATTAATTAATTTTTGTAAATAATGAGCATCAAATTCTGTGAATTAAGCTTGTTGGGATTCTCCATTTACTAGTTTGGCACACAATCTCTTACCAGCTCTTAAGGAGAGAACATTAAGTTTCAATTTATTTTCTTAATCAAAATATGGTGGCAAGTAGGTCTCTTGGTTTGGTTTTTTTGTTGTTGTGTTTTGGGGGCAGGTTTGTGGGTTTTGTTTGCTTGTTTTGGGTTTGGGTTTTTTTGTGATTGTTTGTGTTAGTTATCTTACAAGAACTGTAGGCAATTCCTGTCTTACTAAACTAGTTTATGGAAGAAAAAAGGGTTGTATTCGACAAATATACTGTTAACATCAGGCTCCCTAAGTCTGTTGTCTTTGTTTAAATGCAAGAATTTTGCTGGTTGAAATATTAGCTAAGAAGTAAAATCTTAAACTAGAGAGCGTTACAATGAAGGAATCTATCATAATACACAATCACCAGATGTTTTTCCAAAACAGACAACGAAAACATAAATTATGCCCTCATTGGTTGGTTTAATTGGAGAAATACTAAAGGTAAAAAGTAGCAAACATTGTAAACCTGCACCTTTATCCCTTTGTGCATTTTCTTAAAGGAGCTTATGTGTTTACATTTATTTTATTTGTAATACCCTTAAAAAGCTATATTGCAGAAAACAGTTTGAATAATTGGAATTAATTAAAGTTTTGCATCTACATATGAATAATAGGCTCAATCATAGTGTTTCAGCCTTTTCAGAAGCAGTGTGACCTTTGGCAAATATAGGTATGAAGGAGGACTATTAAATCACAAAGCTTTAAAACTTAGATTAATTTTTAATTGTTTTTCTTAGTTCTAGGATTTTATTACTTTAAAAAATGCATATATTTTCACAATATTGTGTATCTGGGATATAGGATTCTACAGAATCTGGAAGTATACCCTTAAACGCTCAGTACATGTACACTTGATTTCAAGGACAATTTTTTTGGAGAACATGCATTTCTAGAATATAAGTTTGTTCTTATATGTAACAATTTGATGAAGTTCTGAAGTATGCAACTACACACGAAGACTTTCAAAAATTTGTCGACTACAGTAGGAATGGCATGTATACCTGGAAGGTCAACTACGTAGTTAGTCTCTGTAGTCAATGTAATAAAAGTAACCTTTGCCTACATCTTTGGCAATCAGGGGCAAAGGACCCCTCCTGTCCTAATAAAACATATATGCTAAAAAATTACCAAGCTTTTTTTTTTTTTCCAATTTTTTTTTTGGGGGGGAGGGTAAGATAAATAAGTTTGAAAAAAATAATCTTCATAATTTCAGTGTAGAAGATAAATGAGTAACTCTTCAGGAAGTTAATTAATTTTGACTTAGAATAAGAAGATACAAGTTTAAGATACAGTTATTTTTATTGCATTTGATCTGAGTATTTCATTTTTGTACACATGCTGGCAACAACTCTCTTTGCAAGCACTGTAGCAAAAGTGTTTATATAGCGCAGCATGTTCAATTCATTGTGGTATGGGAAGAAAAAAATTGCTAAGTGCCTATGGATGGTGTAACTCATGAAGTCTGGTTTCTTGCAGATTTATATTCATTGACTGGTATGCACTGTCAGCCATAAATTTCAAACTATTTCCTTTTCCCTAAACATTGTCAACTATGCTTTCACAAGGTGTAACATGTACACTGTCTAATCTACAGCTAGGTATATGGATTTTTCAAGGGAGTATCTACTTGCAGGCTTCTATCTCCTTGAAATACCAATTTAGCTTTGTAATTTACTATCGGGTGACTGGGTGCTGATTTTTTTTCATACAGATATGTAAAAACATAATTACAGTTGAGCCGTGTAACTTTCTATTAATTGGGTTGAAATTGGTCAGAAGGATAAAAGGTATTTATCAGACACATCATTCAGGTTTGGAAAAAAAAAAAAAGTGTTTTTTTAAAGAACTGTGTGTATTTAGATACTTCAATAGGAGCTACATTAGAATTTTAGCTACTGAAATAACTGCTTTAATTAGGAAATAGATTTAATTACCTTGGAACTTGTTTGGAGACTTCCTTTGTAGGATTTTACTTTTTAAAAGATGGACTTTTTGCAGTTTGTTTATAATCATAGATATTGTCTCATCGTAGAAATAAAGGTTGTTAGTTTGTTGTTTCCAAAAACATTGCCGTAGATGTTACATAAAACACGGTGCTAAAAATGGGAAAAACTGTTCTATAGAAGATTAAATCTAGTTATGGCATTGAATGAGTAAGTACAGTCGTGACCAGCAGAGGGCTGCCTGAAAACAATGAAAAAGCTATGTAGACCATTGCATGGGAATTTGAATAGTGAGTTTCATGTGTAGTTTTAAGATAGTGTGAGGGTAAGGTAAGACACATTTACATTCTTAGATAGAACACGGGCATCATTACATTGTAACTAGTGATATATTATTAGTAAATTTGTCAACAGTTATTAATTCCATTGAGGCATATTATTCTGTGCAAATCTGAGAAGATTGGGGAACTTGTTTACCATGTTAAGTGTTTGTTTAACTGTAAAAGTAAGATTAGTTTAAGTGAAAAAATACAGTGTTTGTTTTAAAAATCTATATTTTGTGTTTAATTTATTTCCACTGGTATTGTATAGAAGTCATGTGTCTGCTTTTCAGCTCTTTACTGTGAGTGTTTATAACAAAAAAGTTCTAAATTGAATCTTAGTGTAAACCAGAAGTTCTTAGTTAGCTAGAAGATATATACATATATTTATTTTTGTGTCCATGTTCTGTTTACAGGTTTGTCTTAGAGCCAATTGTGTTTTGAAATATTGCCTACATAATAGTCTAATAGCAATCTAAATTATAAAAAAAAATAAAGAAAATGCATACTTTTCTAATATTTCTTGTATACTTCTTGATCCCATTAATTTTCTCAGTATTTGTACTAATTTCAGTCTTTATTTATTCAAGTGTTTATATTCATAATGATAATTTTTTATCATTGTCACTTTAGGATGGCGATCCTTCAATAAGGAATGCTGCATCTTTTTCCTTGAGGTCACCACAGTCAGTTTGCTCTCCAGCTGGAAGTGATGGAACCCTTAAAGGTAGTCTAGCATTCATATATATCAATGTATTTTTTCCCAGTTTCAAAAAACAGATTTGAAAGAGTTATTTAGTGATTCCTCCTGACTTCTCTATTCAAATAGCCCTAGAAAGTATGTCATTATGTTTTTGATACAAAATTATTTTGAGCCCTGATCCAGATGAAATTTCTGAAGGTCTGAAAATGGACTAATCATCCTTCAAAACAAAGCTCAAATTCATGGAGGACAGAAGGATTTAAAATCCTTTCCAAAATGTTGACTGAATTCTTTATAAGAATGCTTTCAGTTGATCTACGTAAGAAATGGTTCAAAGGCAGCATTACGAGTATTGAACTCTTAACCAGCTCCAAAGTGTTGGAAAAGATGCAACACTTATCTTAATTGCACTCATGAAATCTTAAGAACATGAAATTAAAAGTAGTTCAATAAACTTAATACATATAGCATAAATAAAGCCTGAAAACCTTAGCTGTGGAGAAGGAATAGGGTAAACAGTCAGTTGAGAGGAAACTGAAAAAAATGTGCTCAAAACAATTTATTATGCTAAAATTTGAAATGCATATGGCTGTTTTTAATATTATCTGTAAGAAGCAATGACTGAGATACATGAGACTTACCAAGATAGGGGTTTGGGCATATTCTTGCTAGTTTACTTCTTCAGTGCTTGTGTATTTACGTGGCAATTGTAGAAAAACGCCACAGTACTTTCTTCTTTTTAGCCCAAAACAAAACTCTGTCTGAGTGATTAGTTAGGTGGAGAGGAATATCAGGATATAGGAAAGATTCCAGAGAAAGTGAAGGTCTTTCACTTGGCCTTATGCTGCTTGCTTGGATAACAGATGGCTTTGGCAGAGGTGGATCTTAGTGCAGTCTTTCCATACCTGTGAGAAGGTTATCAGTAAGACTTGAGTCAGGCTTGTTGTGAAGGAGGGGTGAGATAGAATGGACTTAAATTGAAGTAGAAGGTTCTAACAAGGTCTAAGGGAAAAAAAATTCACTATCAGGACAGTTGAGCATTTGAAGAAGTTGTCCAGGGAATCTGTGCATTTTCTATCCTTGGAGTTTTTCAAGATCAGACTGGGTAAAACCCTATGTGGTGTAGCCTTGCTTGTCCTGCTTTGAACATGAGGATAGGCTAAAAACATCTTGAGGTTCCTTCTTAATGGATTTATCCTGTGGTCATGTTTAGATGATCTCTGTGGTTCATCTTCTGTATCTACATACTGTGCTATATTGTGATAGAAGAGATGTGGATCAAGTGGATTAAGAGAAGTATGTGTATAGCATGCCAGTACCATCAGTATTTTAGGAGGCCTTGTGCTAAAGGATTTGTTGTGAGATGTATGTAAGAGACAAGGACTAAATATGGTTGGTTTTCTCTCTTTGTTGAGGTTATCAGTTTAACAACATTGCGAATCTAAGCTACTTCCACTCATATAAATGATTACCACTCAGCCAGATAATATTTCATTTATTTTTGGTTGCAGTTGCTGCTGTTTCAATTGGCTGCCTCAGAACCAGTTTTGAAGGTGTAACTTTTCAGATTGTTTCAGAAAACAATCTGATTTTACAGTGCTCATTGTTTCAGCATTAGAGTGGCTGAAAAAGTGCTGGAGGAGCTTATTGGTTTATGTTAGCTTTACCTTTCCCATTGATAGAGCACACAATTGAAATACTGCTACTAGTGGTGCTACGTTCTTAAAGAGATCAGTGAGCACTGACTGAGAGACCCAGTTCTTAATACTGGAAGAATCTTACTAGATCTTTACTCTCTCTAATCTTGTATGTTAGATATGGATGGAAGAGGTGTGGATTATTAGTGTTATTTAGAACATGGGATCTGACAGTGAGGTTTTTGCCCTATGATTCGTGGTGAAAGTTGTGCTGACAAAGTTTCCAGTGATAAATAAACAGCAAATATCTATACTGGGCTTCTTGTTACTTTCCTTAGCCCTTGAAACTTTGGTTTCATGAAGAAAATTAGCAAAATACTTAATTGTGTGTTTGGCAGGACAAAAATAATGGCACTAGACATCATCAGTCCAGAGAGATCTTAGGAAGGATAATATATGAGGTTTCTTGTATAACATACAAACTCAAGGCAATTACCGGAGGTAATGGTACAGGCTGCATTTCTGTACTTTTGACGTGGAAGTAGTAAGAAATTCTGGAGCTTCAGAGAGAATGCAATTGCACAGTCTTGAATTTCTGTAAGACTGAATGTAGCTGTCTGATTGACGGAATCTAAACGAGGAATAAATTTTATTTGCAACTCAGGAAAATATTTATATTATCAGGAATTATATTTGGGTTTTTTGTTGGTTGTTCACTTGCTTATTGGAGTAAAATGTCTCTGTTAGTAAAATTTTGCTGCACTTCTGCTCCAGTAAATGTACCAAAGCAGCTGAAGTCTTATTTAGAATTTCTAGGATAGTCTTTACCCTTTATTTTTTTATGGGTTTTTTTATGTATTTTTAGCTGTGAATACAGAATAATGACTCTTCTTTCATGCTATCATCTGTTACCACAGCTACTTTCTTAAAAATATTATTTCTATTAATTCATCTGTGAAAAAGTCGCATGGAGAATTTTCCTTTTGTTGATATCTTAAAATATACTGTCAGTTTCATTGTCCAAGATCAATTACTTATCAAAATCCTTTTCCACAGCTCTGGAACTTTAGAATTATTTTTTTTTCCTTTAGTAATGGAAAGCTTTCCACAGTATTTTTAGCTCATTGCTTTCCAAAGAAAAGACTTAATATCATTTACATTCCTGTTTCCATACGGTTCCATAAACTCCTTGGCAACATCTTTAAGGACTAGCAACAGCCTTTATGAAACTATATAATTTTGAGCTCTTCTCCAGAAATAAGTTGCATTTCCTTCAGAAATATTTAGTAGGTATTTGATGGTTTTCTGAAAAATTTGGAAAGATTACCTTTATTTTCCTAGGGATTTATAGGATTTGTCCAGAGATTTCTCTACACTTGGTCTCTGAATGTTTAGTGAGTTGCAAGAAGAACTAGGAATCCTCTCAAATCTGTAGTAAAGACTTCAGTACTCTCAGAAGTCCTTGATAAGAAAAATTATCATTTCATCTCCTTTCCTTCCAAAGAAAGACGGAAGAAATTTATTCAAAGATTTTTTTTATTTTTTTTTTTCTGACAGGACCAAAATAAACATTCTGTCTCGTTTCTTTCTTCAAGTCTCAGTTATTTATGCAAGGATACTGCTGAATGCAGTATTTCTAAGCTAGAATAGCCAAAGCTGAATTTTTTTGTGAGGCATTTGAAGCTCGGGAGCAAGTGATGGGACTCCTCCCTGAAAACCATTGGAAGACTATGTAGAAAGTGAATACAGTCTGTACCTATATGTCTGTCTCATATGCTGTCCCCTTAAGTTTAAATTTTAAATTAAGGTAGGGTCTTTGAAAATTAATGTCAACATTGTCGGTTAATCAAAATAGGTAATAATAGCTTCTTTATAGCTACTACAAAATTTCAGAAGATTGCCAGAGGAAGATTCTGTGATTTTAGAAAATACAGCAGGAAAGCACTTGAGGGCTTCTTCTTACCATTGTGTTGAATGAGCTGTAGCACTATCACTCCAAATAACATCAGTTTTTTTGTTAAAATGTCAATAATGGACTTTCCTTACTCTTGCCATGCAACCTATTCAGGTTCTTAGTGCTAGAGAGCTTTTCTCGTAATGCTTAGCCTGAATAATTTTTGTTGCAGTTAGTCATGACACTTCTTGATTTCTTTGTAGTGGGCAAGGAAAAACATTTCATGTCTTTTTTTATAATAGTCATTTCTGTATCAAAGAATGTTATCATGTCTTGCACTAATATAGTCTTCTACAGACTGAACAGCACGGTGTCTTTCTATCATCTTTACATGAGTCATCATTTCTTGAGCTTCTGATTATCTTTGTTTTTATCTAATTGGTCTGTATTTGTCTTGATGTTTTACTGTCTTAAGTCATAGATACAGACTCTGAAGACTAAAGTGAATAAGTAGTCAGAAAAGTATCGTAGGCAACTTTGTATTATACTACTGTTATATAAGAGAATACAGCTGCTCTTTGCTGATAATTTAGTCATATTGCAGCTTGTTTTAAACATATTGCTGTCTTTCTGTAGAGCTTATCTTTTTCCTCTTATATTGTTACAGTTGCACTTTCTCAGATGAATAAGAAGTCTGTGCTTCTTCAGAATTTCTTTTGTTTTAAAAGGTTATTCATATTAGAAGATTGTAATTTCTTACCCTGTTTTTAAAAGCAGTTCTGTGCCTCTCTCCCTAGGACTTTGCACTGAGAGTTGTTGTGATCTCTAGATTGATAAAATAGACTACAATTTTGTTCTGCAAGAACTTATTAATGACAAATATTTGAACAACTATTCTTAAGACGGTGCTCTGCAAAACTGCACTTGTTCTCCTTTACTGCCTTCATCTATTTGTACCAAGAACAACTGGTAGTCTATGAACACAGTTTTGCAAAAGGGTATACTGCAATCTTACAGTATTTTTGTCTAGGTCATAGTTCCTCAGCTTGTTAGTAAACCTGTTACGAGAATCTATGTAGAAAGTCATTATAAACTCCAGACATGACACTCAGTGTTCTAATCCACAAGACCTGCTGCTTAATGGAATTATTTGGTAACACTCTTACAAATTCACTTTGAAATTCCTCTTTTTTATTAGTATCTCAATCCTTATAGAGAAATTGTTCCTCTATTATGTAATTACATTATACAGACAATGTGCAATAATCTGGGCAGTCCTTTACCATCCTTTTGAAGGGACTGTTTTTCCCTTTTTGAGACTGCTGGAGGAGCATATTCTCAAGGTAATTATTACCAATACTGAGATTAGTTTAGCCAGAGTTCAAGGGTCAATTTGTCTGATAACCATTTTCATGCGAACATTCCATTTATGTGAAAGTGGTAAATAAGTTCATATTCAATTAAACAAATAAGGCACTTCTATTTACATTCTGTAATTGCAATCTCTTAAAATGTTTTGGTAATAGTTTTTTCCTGAGTTTCAGTCATCACCAGGTTCTCAGCTTTTCCAACATTCAAACATCAGTATGAATGCAATATGAATGCTTTGGTTCTTTTCTCCAGCTTCTTCCCTTAGGAACTTATTTACAGTGTAATTATTCAGATGGGAAGTCTAATCATCCACGTGTAACACATATGCATTCCTTAAAGCCTCACTTTCCAAATACTTACAGTAAAAAGTCTGGAATGCTTTGTCCAGGTTTGTACAACAATTTGATAACCACTTAAGAAGTGCTCCTGGAGTAGCAAGGATCACTTTACTGTGGGTTTAAAACGGCACAGCACTTGAACATTCCTGAGGTTTCTCTGCAATGTGCTGTGAACCAAGTATTAGTCATATAATTAGACATTAGTCTTTGTTAAATGTTTTTTCCAGCTTTCATGCTTACGGAAACAAAACAAAAAAAAACTAACAACAAGAAACAAACAAAAAAACTCCAACAAACAACTGTTTGCCTGCAAGAGAGGAATATGAAGATACTATTTTGAGTGACTGTTTCAAAGTTGTTGTGCAGGTGGAAAGCTAATTTTTTTTTTTATTTATTCTGTAGTATGCTGTGAATCCTAAGTTCCTAGTAACTTTAACAGTTGTTCTTTAACTATGTGGATCACCATAGGGAAAGTGATCAATGGTGTGACTTTGATGCATCAACTTTGAAAGGCAAGTGATCTTTTCTCTGAAGAGGCTCAGAGATGATCAGAGAAAGTATAATGAATACTTAAATAAGATGTGAGTGTTATGGTGTGATTAGAAAGTGCACAAAAAACATGTCAGTGATGTATGCACTCTCCTGGACAGAAGCTTACTTGTTTCCTACCCAAGTTACTGATGCAAAATGAGCAAGTGAAGCCATTACCAGGGGTAAACAAGCAGTAAGTGGTTTTGAAACTTTACATTTTTAAGAAGGCTAAGTGACTGTCAGTGCAATGCATTTTATTGCTTCTTGCATTATAAAGGATTTGATAAGCTATCTACCAAGAATCACAGAAAAAAAGGCGTTTACAAATTCCTGTGACAGTTGATAAAATTTCTTCCGTTCTCAGTGCCATCTACCAATAGGTATCGGTAGGAAAACTAGTTAGAGAGCCAGTCCCAGGATTATCATGGGTGGTCAGGATGACTGTTATGAAAGACTATGGAGGTATTGTTGATGGGTATATTTGTTCTTTGTAGTGGCCTCATTTCTTCTTGGTGTTGCCTGCTACTCAGCTAAATTGGTGTTATCTGGTCGACCATTGGTATTTTCTGTTCAGTAATGATGCAACAACCTTACCAAATCAGGGGAGAATCTCTTTTTACCTCACAAGTTTTACATATTCCTGCCATGTAAAAAGAGACCACACAAAGTTCTATTAATTGTACTATGAAGAATTAATACAGAAAGTCAGATTTGTTTCTTCTGAATTACTTCACAGCCCTAGATTTAGATTCAAAAGCTGCCTACAGTTTCTATGTTCTAAAATAATTTTCTGAAATTCAGTTCATCCCCACAGATTATTTCTGAAGATCATCGTATGACTTATTACATTGACAGGATTTTGTAGAACAATCCTTCTCAACCTTGGAATCTTGACTGGTTCAGCAAACAAATCATACTTTTTTTGTCTGTATTTTTTTCCACAAAAATATTTCTTCTGTTATCAACAAGTCTTGTGAGAGATTTATTCTTAGACAAATACTGGCTCAAGCCTTCTTCCATAAGAAATATTCCAGACTAACTTCCACAGTAATAGGCAAAACTTTCTTTGTATAATGTGTGATGTTTTGTCCAAAGTCTATGCATCCAACAGAATGTGGTACGTGTTCATTGTGTGATACCTCTTTGAAACTGCTGATGTCTGTGATAGAGTGAAACTGTCCAAATGCTGCATCATCTTCAATTTCTTTTCACCTCAATATAGAGGCATTGTACCTTCTAAGTGTCCTTGTTGCCAGATTCTTAACCATCATTAGACATCTTAAATACGTGAAGCTATTGCCCAAACATGTATTTTTAAAATAGCAGCTTATCCTTTAAACCCTTATAGGGTTTACTATCAACACCTTTCAGGAATTTCCTTCAGGAGGAAGGTGCTTTCAATTAGCTATTCGTAGTGCTGCCTAGGAGAGGCAAAACTTTACTTTTGTTTCTTCATTTACTGTATTCTAAATATGTTCCATGGAATGCACTGAAATCCTTCTGACCTCCTCAAGTCTACCCAAAGGTAAAAAGAACCACCTTATCTGTTGCTAAAATGTTATTTTTCAACATGAAAAATACCAAATTATTAGCAAATAAGGACAATCTTGTCATACTTACTTAAAAGTTTAGGACAAGGGAGATTCAAATGTTTCCTCTATTTGAAATGTAACTCTAAAAACCAGTAAATGTTGTATTGTTGCAACTTCAAAAGTATCAATTTATGAGATAATTAAAGAATAAGATGTCAGTAAGTTCTCTTGAAATTTTGAGCTGCCTCTAATATATATAGAAACAAAAATGCAGCTAGTATTTCCTAAGTGGTAATCATTACCATAAAATAAATCAGTAGCTAAAGATTTCTGCTGTACCTTACATTAAGACAATTTCATAAATTACCAAAAGAGACAGTAACTGGGGAGAGGAAGCATCAAAAGAGTAGGAAATCTGTGATGAAAGGAAATGAAGATCTTCATAGGGTGTAGCCAGGACTTAAGTACTAATGGTTGAGTGTGGTATCTAATTTGAGGAGGGGATGTAGAGTAGTGGAAAGACCTTGAGAATTCGGGTGAATCAGAACTGGGCTTCCCAACATTCTGGATGCTATTGGGAGAATATTGAGTTATTGCTGATGGTCAAAAAGGGTAAGTCCATTTCATACCCTGGTGTCTACTGACTGAAGTTATAGTGCTTCTTAGAGAATGTACCAGGGAGACAATGTAAGTATAGTAGTCTATGTAAAGAAGTTATCAGTAAAGGCACACCTTTCTTGTGAATTGAAGCTTTGCTAGAGTTATCAATTATTTTTTTCATCTACAGGTCAGTACATTGCTTAATGATTCTTAAAATGTCTTAAAATATCTGGCAGAAATTTAAGCTGCAGAATAAAGATGCATTCTTTTCTCATGGTATTTCTTGAATGAAGCACATGGGGACCTGTATTCCAATTAGTTTTTAATTGTTCCATGTACTGACCTATGATGACTTCAATCAGACTACTAGTAATCTCAGTCACTGCTTTCTGAAGATGAGTAATCTCCAGTGTATGAATGGAATCTGATAAACGTTTGCTTTAACAAGAGGCGGTTGGCCTTATACTTTTCTTTTTTTTCCTTCTTTTTTTAGATTCATACCAGTAGTCCTTTTTAAATAAAAAAATATAGCTCAAAATTATGATTGGGACAGGTTGAAAAGCCTCTCTGTTTTTCAAAGATTCTTCTGGGCTGACAGTTATGGAGAGCTGGTTTAAGTTGAGGAACAAAAAATTTAGATGTGGTTAATTGGAGAATGCTTTTAATTAAACATGCCTTATTTAAAATTTTTTCCTGATACACTCAGAGCCTGAAATGAGTGCATGTTGAAGTAAAAATTAATATGTTTACATTAAAAAGGGGGAGGTAGGGCAAGGAGTGGTAGAAAAATGCCTTAAGACAAGTAGTGTTTTCGAGATAGTGATGAGTGGGGAAGATAAAAGTGAGTTAACATAAAATTTGGAAAAAAAAAAAAGAAAAAAGTTGGAAATTAACTGTTATAATCAAAGTTAAAGAGATTTTGTATGTTTTGATTTTTTTTTCTGTTAAAAATATGTGGCTGAAATGGCTAGTACTTACTTATACACCGATCATTAAGTCTTCACCACTGAACCTTAATAAAAATCTTTTTGATCTTTCCTATTTCTGTAGTCAGCGTGCACTCTTTGACCATTTTCTAATAGTTGATATTCTAAACATGCAGGTACTATTCTTATTTATTCTTTTTCTGGTGGTGGATTTTTTTGTTCCATCTTTTCTGAAATAATCCCTTCTCTACCTGCAGTGGTCTGCTAAAATTTCTAGGAAATATGCTGCAGCTGTCTGCATTACATCTTGATCTAGGAATGATGTGCTTCCTACCAATCTTATTTAGACCTCTATGTGAACACAGATATATAGAGAAATACACATTAAAATTATTTAGGTTATATTTAGTGTGTTTTTATATAAACATGAAACAACATAACTGTTCAGTTTTTCTGAATTATTATTCTAGGATCAAGACAACCTTTAATCCAACAATCTCAGCCTCCACCTTATTCATCACCTAGAGATGCTCCCCCAGACATATTGTTAGATTCTCCAGAAAGAAAGCAAAAGAAACAAAAGAAAATGAAGTTAGGCAAGGATGAAAAAGACCAGACTGAAAAAGCTGCAATGTATGATATCATTAGTTCTCCTTCCAAGGACTCCACTAAGCTTACATTAAGACTCTCTCGTATAAGATCTTCGGATATGGACCAGCAGGATGATATGCTTTCTGGTTTGGAAAACAGCAGTGTGTCAGAGGGTGATATTCCTTTTAATGTGCAGTACCCAGGACAGACTTCTAAAACACCCGTTACTCCACAGGATGTTAACCGCCCACTAAACGCTGCTCAGTGTTTGCCGCAGCACGAACAGACAGCTTTCCTTCAGGCACAACAAGTGCCTGTTTTACAACAGAACACTTCAGTTGCTGCAAAACAACCTCAAACTCCTGTGGTACAGACACA